CCATCATGTTGTGCATTGCAAAACAAAAGGCCACTTAACATTATCATATGCCTTTTCAAAGTCAACTTTAAAAACAAGAGCCATTTGGTTTTATGATGAATGGTGCTTAAAACCAATTTGTCAGGAGCTTCTGGATAGATAGCTCTAGTATTATCTATATCTAAATAAATGTTAGACACCTCAGGGCGCCCAAACTTCTTTTTTGTAAAGTTTTCTAACATATGTAATTGTTTCTCTATTTCTTTCAATATGCCCACCATCTTGGTCGAGGAAACAAAATCCTAGTAGCCAATTAACCAGGTTGTACTCTACCTACTGGATGCGAATGTCGGGAGACGATGGAATATGGTACTTCCTACATACGTGTAACGGGAGTTGTAAATCAAACGCAACATGTGATGCAAGCCGGCCATTCAACCGTTCATTAGTCAAACCGGTGGCAATGTGGCATGGTGATGACACTCCTACTTACAAGTATTTTGAATCCTCAACAAGGAGAGAGAGAAGCGAAATAACTGCCCCGCAAGCTTTGCCAGCCAGTCCAGTCCAAGGGAAGTGGTACGGTAGTCGCGTAGACGTAGAAGAAATAACCGATCACGTGAAGGAACGGAAAGTCAATTGGTAAGGAGAGGGTCCGCTTATATAACTAGGAGTGGAGGGTTGTATTTATTAATGAGTCATCAATTTTATTTACAATGGAGACTCTCCACTTTATATAACTAGTAAACGTGCACGTGCAATGCACGTACAACCGTTAGAAGATGTTTCTTTGTTCATCTCCGTTAAGAGGCAATTGTTATATAAAATCAACAAAATTATACTTCTATAAACGAATGATAGATTTCAAGTAGTCGGTGTGTAGTAGAAAAAAATCTTTACGACTACGGCCACAAATAGGAAGAATTTCCATTATGTGGAATATTGGATGTTCATTTTTGGTACACAAATATGAGATATGACACAGGATAACATAAAACCATAATTCTCCCAGTCATTGACCCAGCTTATCATTTTTTATGTGCACAGTCAAGATGCTCTCGACATGTTAATCATTAGTTTATTCTTCACAAAAATATCTCAACACTAAAATTCACAAGCTAAACTTGAGAAGCAACATGCACAATCGTTCTCCAAAGTATCCCCTCTTTTCATCTCTTTTATAGTCCAGTCCCGAACATTTCATGTCTAAATGCCAGAAGAAATAGTGTCGGATAAAAACAAGGGTAAACATTGGAAAACTAATTGATTTGATTGTGTTCAAAACAAAACAAAATCCCCGGATTCTAGTTAGTAATGCATAGAACCCTGATTTTCAAGTATACAAGTTTGCATGTAAGAGAAATTTCATGCACACCATGTAAATCCACAAGAAATTATAAATGCTAGTTGGGCAGTTGTCTTACAAGCAACATAAAAATCAAAAGGAATAGATACATGCAGCAAAGCTTGTAGGAGGGCCTCTTCCATCTTGGTCACGTTTTGTAGTGAAGATATGCGAATATTCCATGGCTGCAAGTAGATGAGACATATTATGGGAAAATAAATAAACATGGCATGTTAATAGTTCGATGGAGGAGCAGAGGCTGGAGAGCAATTTTTACGGCGATTATCTATGTACTTAGGAGGAGACCCATCTTCATTGGTCTCAACAATAGCAGGAGAAATTTATCTTGTGTCCCACACGGACCTCCGTTTCTTAGAAATACCAGTCATACCTTTGTTTATTAGTCTGATGAAATAGCAGACGTTAAACAGTTCCAGATAGGGAACTACCTCCCTTCCATCTTATCCCTAAATGTCCACATGATCTTCTCTGAAATAGTGAAAGAATGGTACATAGTTGTAATCAACCAAAGCACTATACTTCAAAATATGCACAAGACAAACAGAGATAGCAGCTGTAACTGGAAGGAAGACAGGTTGGGTTACTGTGCAGATAAATCATAACTGCATAGTATGTAAAAGGAATTTGATATGAAGAGTTAGCACAAGAGAAACAAGGTTGTATAACAAATTAGTAGGATCCAAGGTCAGGCAAAAATAAACATGTTTAGTTGGAACGATGCAGAGGACGGAAAAACAATCTTCCATTATCTTAAAAAAAGTTAAGCATATGAAGTGACCAAGATGAAATTTTGTAACCATGACCGTTGCTGAAATCTCTAGTCATTACAAACTTCACAAATTTCATGCCTACAACAACTCTTTGCCTTACCTTCAGCAATCACAGAAATATATACAAACAATGAAAACATGATTAATGTTTTCTACCTTAGCCAGGTCAGAAGGGACCACTGGGTTAGGAAAGCACGGGGCTTCATCATTCTTCTGCCCTAACTGTGATCATTTTCGTAGATCATGGTCCAGCTCTCTAAAGTCAATTTTGCTATGTCCCTTTTTTTCTTCTTTGATCCTTGGATTGATAATAATCTGGGAAAAAAATATATGAGTATTTTGAGTGCATCCTGGGAGCATAGCGGTCAACCGTAGAACATATGATGCATAGACAAACATCAAAATAGTTGACCTTCATGGTTGATACACAGGTAAGTTTGTACAGGTAGAAAATCATCCAGAAATGTCAACCTCATTAGTGAAATACTGGGAAAAAATGCACGACATGAGCCATCATGTATCATGAAAATCAAAGAATCATGATGTGTTGTGCCTATATGGTCACACTGACAACAGAGCACAATTTAGCTGCTTGAGCTAAAGGATTGCGAAGTCCTGAACATGTTGACAGAAAATATCATGCATTGTACCAAAGATAAAGTGAGGAATGAGGGTGACAGACAACAACTCATCAATTATTTCCTGGCATCCTCTATGTTAGACCCGTGCATGCTGAATGAAACAAATCACAATCTCCTAGATATCTTTGCCCATCGAATGAACCAAATCCCGGATGTCTCTAAGGACCATCTGTTCCAGTTCAGCCTGGTTGGACTGGGTACGACGATAATCCTCAGACATTGACTCCAAATGCTTCTCCCACAATGCACGGATGTTGGTCGCCTCGCAATACACAAGAATAGTTGCAAAAAACCTTCTTAGAGCATATGGCATCTGGAAAGTAGCAGACTCAGTCAAGCAGTCGTCAAGAGATTTGTCAGTCTCTATTAGGCCCATGAGCTCACACGCTTCCCTGAAGGTCGAGCAAAGCCATCCATTTACGGTTCTCAAATCCTCATATGAAGTGGCACATCTTATATGATTTAGAAGCACTCTCAGGAAGTACCTC